ATATGTGCTACATCTGCCTTTTCAAGCTAAATTTCATGATTGAAAGCCGTCATGAAATCTCTATTTCACTACTTCAAAGCAGTGCACAAAAGTAAGTTTGTCCACTTGCAGCTGTTTATTTTTAAAAAGTTGTTTATTTAGCTCTGTAAAAACGTTTGGAGGCAAGACATCCCTGATTATGAGGACGTTTCTTCAGTTGTTTGGCCTCCAGATGGCGCCACAACTCCATGCAACTTCTTTCCAGTTTGAAGGGAACTCAGATTTAACTAACTTTTGAGTCCGTGAACTCTGACCTCACTGGTTCCAGAGTGACTGATAAAGGAACCTGACTGTAGCTACATTTATCTGACTGCACTATTAAAGTGGTTATGCCTTCAGATATAAGGTCCATGCATCTATCATTCTCCATCAATGCAAGTTTTACATTATTCTGTAAATGACGTCATATGATGAATTCATTCACCTTTGTGAACTTGGTTCCTGCACTTACTTTATTTAGAAGCTACCAATATAACATCTAAAGCAGAAGTAGAGTTGGAACGATTCACTAAATGTTATAGTTTACCTTTTTTCTTTGTTTTGAGGTCGGGGGTTTGGGGTTTTGCCCATTTTCTCCCAGTTTTTCATAACTCTAGAGACTCAAGTGATCATCAATCAATAAAGCATTGATAGTTTCTAAGATGAAGAAATAAACTACTGAAACTATGAGGGTGTTTTCTTCATTCAATATGAAACAACACTATATCAATAGGCCTTCTTATTTATTCATGGAAATGTTTACAATGTAAAATTACATTTAAAAAACAGTTGGCAAATATTGTTACATATACACGCTGTATTTTTGTCCCCCTCTTGTGTCTTTTCATAAAGTTTTATAACATCTGGATTGTCAGGAAGTGCAAAGTTGAAATCCCACCACCGTCACAGCAGCATAAATATGTTTACATTTTGATAAAGCCTTGTTCACTCACAGCCAGGTCTTTATAAAAACAAATACCTCCACCACATCATTTAAAA